ACAACAACAACAACAAAGCCTTAATCCCACTAAGTGGGGTAGGCAACATGAGTCTTTTTTCTCCATTGCGTCCTATTTACTGTCATATTTTCATTTAATCCTAATAAATTAAGATCTTTTTTTTTTCAATACGCCCAAGTCTTTATACGTCAACCTCTGTCTTTCTTAACATCAGCTGAATCTAAAATATCTACTCTCTTAATCAGATCATCAAATGACCAACGTTTAATGTGACCAAACCATCCGGAGCTACACCAACCCTATCACAAATATATTGATTTCTCATTTTGTCTCTAAGTGTAAAGCCACTCATCTACCTAATCATTCCCATCTCGGAAAACTTAGTATTATGCTTCTCTTTTAAAGGCCAACATTCAAAGCCATAGAGCATTGCAGGTCTCACCACCATCTTATAAAATTTTCCTTTTAGTCCAAGCGACACTTTTCTATCACACAATAAGCCCAAAGCATTCCTCCACTTCAACCACCAACTTGAATTCTATTATTAACACCCCCATCTATACCACCATCGCTTTGAACAATAAACCCGAATACCTAAATCGATCACAAGTTTTAATAATTTGATCACCCGAATTTACACTTCTGTCACTAGAGCTGCTACTACTACTAAAATTACATTCCATGTATTCAATTTTGGTTATACTCAAACGAAGGCCTTTAGTCTCGAATGTAGATCCCCATAATTCAAGTTTTTTCTGGACTTCTTCTTTTGTCTTATCCATCAGAAGGACATCATCAGCAAAAAGCATACACCAAGGTACATCCGCCTGTAAATGTCCTAAGATTATCCATAACTAAAGCAAAAAGATATAGGCTTAAATATGATACCCGATGTAATCAAACAAAAATAGGAAAATATTTGGTAAATCCTTCTCCAGTTCGAACACAAGTAACAACTATAGTATATATATCTTTAAATGACTTGTATATAAGTCGTATCAACACGCTTCTTCTCAAGAACTCTCCAAAGGATATCTCTTGGAACCACATCGTAAGTTTTTTTCTAAAAAAAAAAAAATCAAATGTAGATCCTCATTATTTATGAATTTGTCCATCAAACCTCTCAATAAATGTATAGCTTACATAGTAGACCTGTCCGGCATAAATCTAAATTGATTATGAGAAATCTTTGTAATATGTCTTAACATATGTTCAATTACTCTCTCCCATAATTTTAAGGTATGACACATCAACTTAATTCCACTATAATTTGCACACTCTTCTGCATCCTCTTTATTCTTAAAAATGGGGGCCAAAATACTATTCCTCCACTCCTTATGCATTTTTTTTAGTTTTTAAAATACTATTAAGGAGTTTGATAAGCCAAGAAACTCCTAAATCTCCTAAATAGTTCCACACTTCAATTGGGATATCATCAGGTCCTACAGACATTCCACCCTTAGTTTTCTTTAAAGTTTCCTCAACTTCTTTTTTACTAATGCGATGGTAAAAATGAAATGTTATATTATTATTAAATGATATTAAGATCACTATGGTCGATTGTTTTTTCATAAAATTTATTAAAAAGTTTATCAGAACGACTCACCCACCTATGTTGAATATTTTCATAACTTATGTCGATTGTATTTTTTTCATAAACTTAGAATGATCTTACAATCTTTATAATCTCAACGATATCTTCTTCTCATAAGAAAATATTCAATTTGTGTTTTATTATATCCATTCTTATAAGTAATAAGATGCTTTCTTATAAGTTTATAAGTAATAAGATGCTCATCTCTTTTCTTGAATAAAAACATTAGTAATAACAAAATTAAACTCAAAAGCTAAATCTAATATAACTCTACATTCTTTATTAATCACTCTAAAACCGTAGCTGACATGAATATTTTTGAAATCTTCTACCACTCTACTGACATGTTCATTTAAACCTCCTCCAATATAATTTTTTTCTTTAAGATGTATCATTTATATTAAGTCCTCTAACTTATTCCATAATTTATTTTTAAAACCAATATCTAAACTTACTTCAGGAGCATAAGCACTTATAATAAAATCTTAGTATCAATAATAATCTTAAGAGCTATAATTCTATCTCCAACTCGATTAATTTTACAACATTATCTTTCAAACTCGTAACTATAATTACATCTGTACAATTTCTAGTGCAACTCTTACCAGAATATCAAAGTTTAAAACCTAAGTTATCAATCTTCTTAGCATTTTCTTCAACCCATTTAGTTTCTTGAATACATAAGATATTAATATTTCTATGAATCATAATATCAACTAATTTCATTAATTTACCATTGAGAATACCTATATTCTAAGATCTATTCTAATATTAATTTCATGAACTAACTTTTTTACCCGCATCTGTCCGTAATTTGGGGACCCATGCTTATTTGACACTACACTTGAACACCAGTGTAGCGGCCCTTGCACACTTTTCACTGTATTCAAGTCATACGGCGTGTCGTTTCCAGGGGACGCCCTAGCCCTTATATAATGATCAACATGATTCAAGTCATGATTTTTTTGATAAGTTTTATGTTCATTGTCGTCTGTCCAACACAACCCTCCACTTTCCACATCTAAGAAATAAATTATTTTTTTACATACATGCCACATTATCCCTACAAGTGTATTTTCGCTTCTAAAAAAATATTGATATTTTTTATGAAATATGAAAAATCTGAGTGGTATAAATGTAAAAAATAAATTTTGAGTGTTGGATATGTAAATACATAAGAGTTGAGTGGTATGTACGTAAACGCTTCTCTAACTTAGTTGACTAGAAAAAAAAATTGTGCTTTTTTTTATTCAATTTTTTATAATTAAAGAAAAAAAATGAACTTATGTGCTTACAATTACATGATGAATTTCTTTTACTAGGCGATGCCTCGTAATTTTTTCTTTTTCAAGGGTTTTTCCAAGTAAAAATTCATCTTTTTCCTCCTACTAATTTTCTATTATTTGTATGCGTCGGAACTTCATGAAACACTAAGACATTAAATTATCACTCTACCACCTCATATCGTTCGGCGTACAGCCATTATAATGAGGTACTTTTCATATGATGTTAAAAAGTTGAGTGATACTCAAACAAAATAAGTGATCAGGCAGTAAAAATATAAATATATAAGTATTGTGTGATATACATGTGCACATATGAAAAAGGAACTGCACGAATCTCGAAGAAATTCAATAAAAAAAAGGTATCAAAGGAGCGCAATACAATGAGACTTGTAAACATAAGACTAAAAACCCACAAGCAAAAGACTAAGAGCCCATAAGCGGAAGACCAAAGACCTACGGATGGAAGACCAACTGTCTCAGGAAAATACTAAGGCTCCAACAATAGAATGTTGTGTTCACTGGCGAAATACTGAAAAATTTATCTAACTAGGTGCAACCTCCTTATGGTAGGGGTGAAGGTCGACCAAGTGAAGGATTACCGACCGAGAGTCATATGTATCAAAGACCAATGAACAAAGTTGAAGCACAAATCTACCTCTTCTCTTGACCTTATCCAAGGGAAAAGACAATATCACCATATATCTAAATAGACATCCCTGAGATCCCTCATCCAGGGCCGAAAGCTAACCATTTTATAATCGCACGGAGCATTCCTGAGGAACCCCTCGTAAAGGAGTGAGAACCCCTCACCCGGGAATGTATAGTCTACGGTCAGGTTAGAGCAGCCGATCGACCCAAGTCTAGCTTACTTGAAGACCATCAGATGCCGACTGACAGCCTCAACTTAGCACAATCAGGCAAACAAGTCTTATCAAGCTAAAAACAGCTGATCTAAGTCAACTGAGTAATATAATAGCTGAATCATAGGCTCTCTTATGCAAAATATATATATCATGTAATACATTTATTATAATAAGGACAAACAAATAATTATACACTTTATACCCTCTTTATTACAAATAAAAAAGTCATTTCTTCAATAATAACAAATCAAAATTCTATTACATTGTTCATTATTGTGCACTCGCACTCTCTCCTTCATATTTTAAGCTTCTCATTCGGCGTGAATCCGGAGCAAATTCAGATTCAACAGCATGTGAATGCCCTTTGAAATAATTTATCTTATTAAGCAATAGAAAAATAAAGGGTCGGGTATGTACATTGCATGAAATTCTTTTATAGTTAACATATATAACACCTAAATTTTCATATTTACATACATACCACTCAAATACTAGACATTCCCTAAAAAATATCACTATTATTACTTTTTATAAATAAAATATTAATATTTATGCATCCATTATTAAAACTAAAATGTTTTGAATTTAAATATCAAATTTCAGAGCTAAAAATACAGAAAAATAAGAACCAAGTGATATGTACATAAATTTTCTAGAAAAAAAAACAAAATCATGAAAAATTAAAAGAGAAATTTTTTTTCATTGGGGGCAGCATATTTGATACGGTGGTGTTATGAAAACGCATCTGACATGTTTGTGTAAACTGCGTTGTAGCAGCTTATGTGTTTTTAAAACACTGAAAACAAAGTTTTCCGCACCACACTTATCTAGGTGCGATAACAGCTTTCTGAATGCGGTCTGACTTTTCCAAAAAAAATAGAAATTTATAATAACCACCGAACATAGCTTATCAATAGATTATTTTTAATCAGCTTATGAGCAGATTATTCAATAAACTTCAGCTGCCCCAAACATACCATAACCTCTACCAAATTCAAAATAAAAAACAAGCAGTTAATTAATAAAGAAAAAAAGAATTTACATATCATACAATTATTATATGATTTATATCTCACACCTAGGCTTCAATATTTATATAAATAACACTTGTGTCATTATCACCTTAAAATATCAAAAATTAAAAAAAAAAATTAATATTTTAAAAAATTAAAAATAAAAGATAAAATTAGACCCAAACAAGCCCTACAATAAATAGAAACTGGATTCCAGTCACTGAAAAAAATACATAATATTATTGCAGGCATAGTAATACATAATAAAATTAAATTACATTAAAAGATAAATTTGAAAAAAAAAAGGCAAGGCATGTTCTGCAGACAACTCAGAAATAGGCAGAAATAGGCCCATAAGGTAATTTGAAGAATATAAAGGTTTCAAAAGCTAAACCTTCTTGATCTGAATATTATGAGTAGACTGTGATCTCCATATGGGTTTTCTCCCACTCTGAACAAGAGCAACCTGCTCACCTTCCTTTAGCATTCCTTGTTTCTGCAATTAATGAGAGCAAACCAAAAAAACATGAACTAAGAGAAGTTTGTAGTCTAATGGCATGCAGCAATATAAGAAAATTAGGATATAAATTGTTGTGTGTGTGTGTGTGTGTGTGTGTGTGTGAGAGAGAGAGAGAGAGAGAGAGAGAATGCAGTTTTACTAGTCTTTATGGGGCTTAATAAAGTATTTGAGAAAATACTAAGAGAAGCAAATATAATTTGAGAAATTTACAAACATACAACCTAATCTTAATCTATTTACATATCTAACACTCAAAGTTTGATATTTACACTTATAATAACTTGAATGTAAAGCTGCGTTTCAAACGTATGTCATTTCAAGGAGGACAAACTAGAAAGTGAGAAACAAAATTTCCCTCACCCGGAGTGCGTGGCAGATAGATTGGAAAGAGGACGAGCTTAGGAGGTTGATAAGCGAGAAAGGGGAATTGGAGCGTGATAGAAGAAGACAAAGCCGGAGACGGACTTTGTCGATCGGCTCATGGGACGGGGATGACACAGCACAAGTGAAATCGATAGCTTTGCAGGTCCAATTGAGGGGGAGGGGGA